TCGTAAAAAATGTAAATAAGCGACGACGTTTCTGCTATTTTTGTTTTTTTTTCTGGAAAAACGTTGCGCCAGATGCTCTCTGAGGTCATAAAGTGTAATGGTTGGTAATAAAATGTTTGAAACAACGACGTTTATCTTTATGACGTTATTGTGTGATGCGTTAGAAAATTTTATTAAAAAGTTTCCAAACGGCATTAGTTTCGTAACTGTAAAAAGGAGCGAATAATTTGCAACAACGCTTTAATAGACACATAAAAGGCATTTTCATACATCAAGGGTAATAAACATGCATTCCATTGTAGATGCGAAGAGTAACAAAACGAAAAGCATGGATTATTACCTTTTGATGTTGACGCGCGTATCAAACGCTGGAAGGAATGAGATGTAATTTTCCGAACTTGTCAGGATTTGTAACGAGGGAGTGACAGATGGAGATCATTAGATGCAAACCCATTTAAAAAAAGGGCATAGGAGTTTCGGTTGCCGGGAAAATGGGAAATAAAGTTTTAGATAAGGCTTTTCGTGTGTATTTTGTGTTAGGAAATCAAACGACGTTTTACTCTGAACGAACGCATCTAAATGCAAAGACTTCGCCAAACAGCAGTCGAAACTTTGAAGTTTCTCGACATTCTTTAATTCAAAGCGTAATTCTCGAAGAATTATCATAATGAGAAAGCGATAAAATCGTCATGTGCCTCGACTTCATTCGAAGCCTTTAATTAACTTCGGAATTCCGATGTCTTCATTTTAACATCTAATTACTTCTCTCGAATTCATTCTACAGAATCTGCAGGCTTAGGCTCTGAAATCGATGTTTCCGGCAATCAAAGTAAAAACCACTCGAGAGTCCAAATTGAAGTATTTATTAGTAGGCAGGTACGTACTTCTAATATTACTCCGCACAACAGTGTGTTGGGGATGGTTCCTGCTAATAACTAAATGGCAATGTCTATAATTCGTAGTTCTTCAATATACATGTTATTGTTTTTTCCCAATATAACACTAATATCACAATTTTTCACTGTGAATTGTTAAGCAAAAAATAACATTATAAATTGTTGATACCTATACTTTCATCCCATGGAATTTGTGCTACATGTTTGTAAAGATCAAAATATCGTCGACTGCGGATAAATTTTTCTGAGCCGGAAATCAAGACGCAAATCAGTACATGCACTTACAGATAAATGAACTAAAACCTGGGAGAACATCCTTTCGTTCTTATTATTGACGTTTTATTTGCTGTCATAATTTCAGAACTAGAACATTCCTGAACCTTTTGTAAGAGATTAAGGTCCTTGCACGTGTACGAAGCTGCACCAGAATCAAAAATTCATTTTGGAGACTTAACGCCGATATAGCACAAAGCATGTTCTTGCCGTCAGTTTTTTTCTTGTAGATCCTCTTCTTAGGACAATTCAGTATGGTATGTCCGAAATCATGACATCTATAACACTTCACAATTTTCTTGAAGTCATCCAACGAATGCAGCTGCTTGATATTCATTGAAGTTTACGTGTACATCCTAAAGTAACTTTGTAAATATCCGTAAACCGTGATGGAAATGAAGTTAGCCTTTTCTAGGTTTTTTTATTTCTGTAGAGTTTTGTTTCCTTGATAGCTTTCGGGAGTTTGAAGACGAGATTCACAGCAACATGAGCTAAAGTGATATCTTAATTGGCCGTAGCCCCTTCTCTGCATAAGCATGAGGCCACTTCAGCATTGTGAGATTTGCTAAGTTAACATGTTTTAAAAACACGTAGGAATTAATTATCAGCCTACCTTTTATTTGATTCGTAGGGCGGGATTTAAGCAACTAATTTACGATTAAATTTGTCCGTCTGCGTTAGCAATTCGCCAGTTTGCAGGTAGTTTAATAATTAAGTAAGAAATTAAGGGAGGGCATTTCGGGAGATTTGTAATTGATTCGTGTTTTGGCAACCGAGGCGACCAGTGTGGGTCCATAAAAAAATTTTGAATTGATTCGCGTCTGAGCGACTTCAATCGTCTCAATCACAATTACGTGTTGTAAGATTCAGGTCTTGGGGGCAAAAGCAAGTAAGATCCGGATAATATTAGTTTCCATCGCCACTGTTTGAGGCTGCGGATAAATTTAGCCGCAAATCAAGGTACAAGTGCGTGCACCTACAGATAAATGAACTAGAACCTGGGAGAACATCCGATTGACATTCACAGCCAAATTGACTTTTCAAAAAAAAAATTTCTTTTCGTTGTAGAGTTATTTGCTGTCATAATTTCAAAAATGGAACCTTCCTGAACATTCTCGACGAGATTAAGGTCAAGAGTTAACGCCAGAATCAAAAATTCATTCCTTTTCTGGAAACTTCAACGCCGATATAGCACAAAGCGTGTTCTTGGCGTCAGTTTTCTTTTTGTCGAGCTTCTTCTTAGGACATTTGGACTTGCTATGGCCGAAATGATGTCATCTATAACACTTCAAAGTTTTCTCGAAGCCACCAGACCTTGGTTTCCCAAGCTGTTACTGTTACTGAGGTTTACTTGTACATCCTGAAATAACTTTTTCGGTATTCGGTATCGGTATTTGAAGACTGTGGGGTACTTAAAATGTTTAATTTTGATTGTGACCAGACCCAAAATCTAGAGCGAGATAGATAGGTAGAACATTTATAGAGATTCTATGGGCTATCTAAATTGAGAGGGTCGGATTTCCAATAAAAATATTTCAGTAGTCAAATGTTAAAATTAATCCGTAAAACGTGATGGAAATAAAGCTCACCTTTTCTGCGTTTTTTATTTCTGTAGACCTTTGTTTTCTTGTTGGCTTTCAGGAGTCGCAGTAACATGAGCTAAAGTTATATCTTAATTGATCTTATCGCCTCCAAACCACTGCATAAGCATGAGGTCACTTCAGCATCATCAGTTTTGCTAGGTTAACATGTTTTAGAAAAACGTGGTTTACCTTAGCTTTTATTTGATTGGTAAGGCGGGATTTATGCAACGAATTAACGATTAAATATGTCCGTCTGCGTTAACAATTCGCCATTTTATAGGTAGTCATTAATTATGTAAGAAGTGAAGGACGGTCATTCTGGGACGGTCCACCTACAGATAAATGAGTGTATCATTACAACGTGGCAGTGTCTTCTACTCACAAAAAATAAAGATATTGTCGTGCTTTTTTATGCATAATACACGCCTGGCAATAGAAATAGTTTAGTCTGGGTTATAAGGTAGTACCATGCTATATTTATCGATTTTTACTTTCATGGTAGTAGATTAGTGGGGAAGAGGCTCTTTACACATAAACATTTAAAGACTGACTGTCATATATTCAATATCTACGCCATATAATGCAAGAAAAATCCAGTCCTTAGAGAAATTCTCCAAAATATTGCATTTTCTCTTTGTAGGTACCTTCGTCCAACAATTTCGATATATTCACAATTAAGTTTGTGCATCGCCATGACGATTTTTTCGCACTCTGACAGTACTCTTCTCCGAGACTCCGTTCTGCAGACATTTGCGCTGAAAGTTTTGACATCCCGAACAGATATATCTCGTCCTGACGTTCCACATTCCTTTTACGAGTACCCTTTTCCGACACTTCGTTTTCAATCTTGTCGCTTTGACTTCACCAATAGATATCTCTCGTCCAGATGATTAATTTTGCCTTTGTAAGAACTGTCCCCTGACAAGCCGTTTTCGAGATATTCGCTCTATAGTACGGCCCTGCCTTGAAAAATGCTCCCACCAAGAAAAATTGAAAACTGGGTTGGTTTGGAGTGACATATTTGACCCATTTTGTAACTTGCTCTCGTACAATTGTCTCTCATTGTATGGAAATCTTCAGGATATTGAAGTCGGTCGCGTCCAAATTCACGAAGAAATAACTCGAGTTATGGCCATTAGTCTAAAGAAAAGCCAATCTGCTAATTTTTTCGTTTAAGTTTTTTCGTAATCAAAATGCCACTTTAAATACGACTTAAGGGTTCTGACCGTTTCACTACGACCGAGTTTTGTTTATAGTGCAACTTTTTCGAAATGATGTCACCGAACGTAATGGTAAATTTGCCTTTCTAGTTTAACTTCTTACGGTCGCAATTTAAGAATAGCTCCGGCGAAGTTAATATTAGTTGTATTAATAACTGTTGAGTATGCGTACGCTCTATAGTAAAGCGAATGGTCTTTACGGGACGACTGCCGCGTTACGTACCTTTTCTCCGACTACTCAGACACGGATTTAAAATATGGTCCTACTCCAATTCAGACCCACGAACGAGTTACGTTTCTTCCGCGAATACTAAACTTTGCACGGAAAATTGTTCACCTTTGAATTTTCGTTGCTTGCGTCTATCGTTCTCTTGCACTTGGAAACGAGTAACGCTCAATAGTTTCACTTACATTAAGTACGCTAATCTTGAAATATGTCTCCGTGGCCGCCAATCTTAGCAGAAAAATCTACACCTTCTTGCGACCAAAATCAACCTTGAATCTCTTACTTAGATGAAAACCGAATTCGAACCATTCCGACCCTTTCGTACCGAATTTTGTCGATTCTATTACCATGGTTATCACCTACGCCAGCCTTGAGAAACATTTTTCTCTCATGATAAAATATTAATAAATAGACGAAGTTGGGTAAAAAATGCTTCAGTGTTATAAAAAATCTTGAAGATAACACGGTGTTTTATAATTTAAAGGACTTTGCCCATTAACCTCGCTCCCTTCGGTCGCTCGGATTTAAAATAGGCATCGTCCTTTAAAGCACCTATAAAATAGTTATCTTTTTAGCCATACAGCAGCACGATATTTGATTAGATTTTGAAAAACAGATTATGCATTCTTCGTCACCAAATCAAGTGACCTTATTGTGCCCCTGCAAGATCTAGTGTGAAATATGAAACAGGAGCGAGTATTGTGTTTAATTCTACTGCTGATAGCCTTTTTGGGGTTTATCAATGCATATTACATTTTGCCTTAGTATGAGTACCATATACAAACAAAAGTTCGGTACTTACCAAAGTTATGTTGAAGTCGAAACAAATTGGGCTTCGCCGATTTCTTGATCCAATTCAAATTTTGTTGATCTGCAAACAAACTGTCTTAATTAGAACTTGGGTTGTTCAGACCTCATAGTCAGGGCTGTTACTATCATTTTTTAGAGAGAAATAGTTCATCAGGTAACATTGAAGAAAATTACGAATCTCATAGTTTTCCAGAGCCGAAATGGGCAATTCGGATTATTTGGTGAGCGGCTTTCATAAACAGTCAACTGAAACTCGACCCACCTCAAGTTTGACTCTAACATCCCAGATTTTAAGGAAAAGTGGGAAAATGGCACATGTTCGAATCGCCTATGACAGGGCTCGCTTACGTTACTAAAAGGTAATGCAATGACCTGAAGTTATAGGGAAGGAATCTTTAAATGGAACGCTACAAATTCCAAAAGCCCGTAAATTTGGGTGATTTGATGGACGTCGCCGATAGGTACGACGGACTTGGTTGTCGTTACTTCGTCTCTAAAGTTTAAGAGCTTATTTATACTGCCCTCGATACTGTATCAGTGTCCGAGAGACCCTCTCACTGTTAGAAAATATTAATTTAATGCCACTAATACAGCGAGATAAAAAATAAATACAATTCCGGCATTTACAATTTAAATAGGCGATGAAATTAATTAAAAACGAATCTCGACTAATTCGGACTCGTTGAAACACACAAATGGATCGGTTTCATAAATTTCGTGCGCAGTAGATCTCTTCGGAAAGTCATGTTTTTTTTTATATTTTTGTTGTAACATTAGAAAACATATTACGTAACGCGTTACGGCATTATGTAACTAACAACGTAAATAGCAAGCGTGTATTGTGTGAAACCTTTCAGATTGTGAAGTACAATTCTACTGAGTGAATAAACCTGTCTATATAAGCACGTTATCAATTAACTTAATGTATGTATTAATTAATGTAGTTGACATGTTGTCTATACAGTACATTCTTAGCAATAAAGCGATAAAGTGTAACTGGCTGAAATTTCCAACAACATATAGTAGTAGCAAGTAATGTTAATGTACCATTTTTGTCGGTAAATGGTACCTTAACATCGCATATTTTACATATACCAATCACTATGTGTACACTAATTTAGTTGAGATAACAAGCTTGATGCAGAAAAGGAAAGTTAACCACTTCTTAAGGTTTGAAAACGGAACGATACATACAAAAAAACCAAGACCAAAATATTAATTCAGACCCCATTGATAATCGGATTGCGATATTAGGTAGTTCAAACTTACGTACCCCATTGATAAATGGGTTTCGGATTGCGATAGACGTAGAAGAAAGGTAGGTAGTTAAATTAAAACATTGGCATGACCTATCCTATGAAAATAACTTCACCTCGAAAGAATATTAACAATTTCTCATTCACGTAAATATGTTTAGATAAATAATTTAGACAATTTTCGCTTGATGGCTCTGGAATTTTCCACTTCAACGACCCCCCTTATAGCCACCGTACCGAATGCCGTTGATGTGGCCGGGACGAATCATCCCTACAGATTTCGTGGTCCTCCCAGGTGCCACAGCTTCCCTGACAGCAAGGTTCAACGACTCTCGATGGGCTGTCTACAGAAACGTGCACCTGTTTGTCCCAAGCCGAGACCTACGTCTCTTAGCCACCGTTGTCGTATGTAAACACTGTGCCAGACGGCTCATTTCCGTTTTTCCATACATTCGGAACTCCCTGAATTTGAATATTTCGCACTTTTTTGTTATTGCGGTTCATGCAATAATTACGCGCTAACTTGTTGGGCTATTGACTTTGTGAAACAGCTGGTGAGTTCGAAAAAATGACTTATTTTGCTATTTATAGACAAACGATGTCGAACTCGTCAATTGTTTATAAAGACTTGAAGGCTGTATGGAAATATTATAGTGAATATTCTAGAAATGCTGATAGACATGGAAGAGCCATAAAAGATTAGTCACCGGCGGTAATAGACGAAGGTGATTGTGACGCATTTTTTCCGGGAAATACGATGTGTTTTGTTCGAGTTTATTCGGTTAACCGCACAAAATTGCTTATTTACCAATAAATTTGAAATTTTGCGGGATCCCAAGGGATTAACATCTAACGACCCCATAAATATCGGGATCGAAATTTTGCTGCGGGATTGCATTCCTTAATTCCCTTATATCTCCAGAACAGATTGTAGGAAGAGGGTACTAACAAAGATGAAATATATCCATTGGTGATGTCAAAACTTTAATAGGGAATTACTCGAAACGGAAAGTATTCTGGGCGAAACGCTACAAAAATTGACGCCATCGCGGAACCACAGGCATCCAGGAACCATGTCGTTCCTGCAAACCTGTTTTTAGTAAATACGGTTCGTGCCAGGGTTCGCGCAGCAGAAGACTAAACCCATTGCCTACCTTATTGAAGAAGGATGCCATTTGGGTTTCGGAAGAGGATCAAAATCGAGCTACTAAAACACCTCCTAGTAAGAGTGCCAATACTATGACAGTCCGAATCAGAGAGAGCCTTTTCCGTACGAACACTAGGCACTATATACAGGGTGAGCCAACGATTGCGCGGAGTAACTTAATGCCTTAAAGATAAGATTTTTCGATGGAGTGCTTTTGTATTATGATATGGTTGAATATTCTCCACATTTTAAAAATATTTGGAATTATACAGGGTGCGCCCACAAAGTAGGGCGCCCAAATGGTAAATTTTTTAAATAGAACCTCCTGTATTTGAATGCATTTTTGAATTCTACGTGTAATTGTACGTTTTGACGTCCTGAAAAATGAGAAGTGATAACGGGACGCATTTCATTAGCAAGTTGATATACTACCACCCACAATCCACCTCCGCGGAACACAAAAATCGAGAGTTGAAAAGTCAAACTAGTAATTTTCGTGAAAAATAATCGTGCCGACTGACCGGAGAAATTGGTCCCAATAGGTTTCGCGATGAAAAGCACTCAGAGTTTACGACTGCACCCGAGACCAGTAAACCATCATCCTTTGTGAGCAACTTTGCCTCCATTTAACCGACGTCGTATCTCTCCCAATGATCGCCCTCGAATTTGTAACACCCTGTGGATAACAATAGACCAAGACAAACGTTCCAAAGGCTCCATAAACAAGCGTGCTATAATTTCGTTATAAAAAGTGTTCTCAAACTAAATTACTTGTCGTAAATTTCCTAGGGACGAAAAGAAAATATAAGTTTAATAAGGTTGATTACGATTAACGAGATTGCGATTCTCAGCACTTGGAAGTAATGAAAACTTTTGAAGTATACCGTAATAGCTCGTTTGAAACTTTCTTTCTTTTTTTTTTATAAATCAAAGATAAAAATCCCTCTTTTTATTTTATGATGCCCGGAGGCGAAAACCCCGAGAGTATCTCGAAAATCTCATTTTCTACTTACAAACAAAAATTATTCTAATTCCTTAGTGACCATTTAAAGAGGCTCCTCTCTCCCTTTTGTGTTCTTTCACCGTTTTTGACAATCGGCGCGTTTATTTCGCCCGCCGATTTTCAATTAAAATTAATTGGTACTTTACAAGGCGAATGTCGGCGTAATAAAACCACGTTTTCGTGCGCGGAGACAAATAGTTCCGCTACCATAACAACTCGATGTCGTATTAAAGGGCGAGAGGGTTAATTTTCTTTTACGATTGGCCATGTTTGAAGATCGGCGTAATCCTGATTGTGTCGAACGATCCCAGAGGTGTTTACTTTACTCTTGGGGTTTCGAGACCGAGGAGGAAACGCGCAAATATTTTCGATTCGACCTACAAATATATATCAAACTGTGCGTCGGAATTGCTCGCCCATGTCAAATTCCGAGGGATGTATTTGATAGTTTCAGCAAGACGCTTTTTGATAAACGAAGTGGCGTCGTGATTTATTTGTTTCGGATGAAATATGGTCAGAAGGAATGTTTCGCGAGGGCACCGTTTATTGCGGTTCGAAAGATTTACATTCTTTTACTTGATGGGGTGGAAACCATTTATTTTAAATATTGACAGATACAAGATATAAATAAATAAAATTATGACAGGTTCGGGATTGCAATCAAACTCTGTACGTTTTTGTACTACGGAGGTGCTTTTTTCCGCTCCTTATTCATTCGTATTATTGTGGTATTATTTAACTTATATGGCAGTAAAGGTTTCTCCATTAACTATTCAATACTTCATTTGCAATAATAATAAGAAATTTCATATATCTGACAATTGAATTAATCTCATTGCTTTTTTTCTTGTTTTGAACGACCTTGCACCACAAACCAGGTCCCAGGCCACGAACATAAAACAAGGTTACGCCTTAGTTACATTACTGGGAAATCTCGGTTGCGACCTTTCACCACAAAACAAGGTCACTCATTAGTTACATCACCAAGACCGCAAGGTCAGCCTCAGTTAAGCAACCGGAAAACCTTAGGCCACGACCTTGTACCATTCGCTAAGTCGATCAGTCTGAATCTGAATCTAAATCTCCGAATGTGAGTTTGAATCTAAGTCTGAATATGAGAAAAATGTGTTTGAAAAGTCCATGGTTTTTTTCCTCAAAATGGGTAGTGTGTAATTAAATTCACGAAAACCCATACGTTTAATTAATTAAAGTTTGCGACTTGTTTCGACGTGTGTCATCGTCAGGCAAAGCTTAAGGATCTTAAATAATATACAATTTAGAAAGTGAAATCATATTAACAAAGGGAATGAAATTTGGTCAAATGTCAAATTTCATCTCTTCTGTTTTGTGTTTTCGTCAATTTAATCTAAATCTGAGTCTAAATGAGTCTGCTTTGAGTCTAAATCTGAGTTTGAATCTGAATCTGAGTCTGTATCTCAATCGGAAGGGGAGTCTGAATCTGAATCGGCTGGCGAGTCTGAATATGAGTCGCAATCTGAGTATCTGGACCTGAATCTGACCGATTATCGCACTGTTAATCTAAGCTCGAATTATTATTATTAATTTATTATTAAAGGGCTGTTTAAGGGCTGGTCATAGATTATTACATTATAACATAGTCTATCAAAGAAATAAAAATCTTTGGGGTACCTACT